GTATGGCGAGGGGCCCCTCCCAACTGGCCACACCCAGCCTGAAGTTTTTGCTGCATTTGATTCCTCAGTCTACACATTTCAGGGCTCAAGTCAACACGTTTTTTTTAGGTACCTACTATATACCAAGCACTAAGATTAAGACTCACTTCCAGATGTGAAGGGTCTGGGTAACCCTGTACTTGATGAGGACAAGGTAGCTCAGGGGGAGGAGTAGACTCAGGGAACACCCATTCTAGGTGATGGGGCCACAGCTGGAGCCCCAGGCTGAGTGGGGAGAGAGGCTCCAGGCTTGCAGGCTGATCAGGAAGGAGAATCAGCCTTCCTTCAAGAGGGGGTGGCAGTAAGCCAACAGCAGCAGCCCTGAGGGGGCTCCAGTGCCTGCTGCACCATCCTCTGCCTCCCCACAGACGGTTCTATGACTCTGGAGCCATCATGCTGCGGGACGAAGCCACCATCCTCACGGGAATGCTGATCGGACTCAGCGCCATCGACTTCAGGTGGGGTCTGCCTGGCGGCGGTGGTGGAGGGGGCTGTTTCCCCCGCAAATCTCCTACCCCAACCCCTCATACCCACTTCCAATCCTGTGGCTCCTCTGCCCCAGCTTCTGTCTAAAGGGGGAAGTCCTGGACGGGAAGACCCCGGTAGTTATCGATTACACACCCTACCTGAAGTTCACACAGAGGTGAGCGGCTCCACGACTGCGACGGGGCGGGAACGGGCCCCCGGGGACATCCTGGGGACGTCCTGGTCCCACCGCCCTCGGGGACCAGCGCGGATGCGCGGGGGGAGGGGAGGGACCGCCCGTGCCCACTGCTCCCTCCCCCAAGCTACGACTACCTGACCGACGAGGAGGAGCGGCAGAGCGCGGAGAGCAGCACGAGCGAGGACAACTCGCCCGAGCACCCGTACCTGCCGCTCGTCACCGACGAGGACAGCTGGTACAGCAAGTGGCACAAGATGGAACAGAAGTTCCGCATCGTCTACGCGCAGAAGGTGCGCGACGCCGGCGGGCCTTGGGGGTTGGCGGGGCGGGGCGGGGGAGCCGGGCGGCCCAGGGCGGGGCGGGGACGAGGGCCGCGGCCGGGACGTCCTCCCAGCCGCCCGAGCTGAGCCGGCGCCTCGCAGGGCTACTTGGAAGAGCTGGTGCGTCTGCGCGAGTCGCAGCTGAAGGACCTGGAGGCGGAGAACCGGCGGCTGCAGCTGCAGCTGGAGGAGGCGGCGGCGCAGAACCAGCGCGAGAAGCGGGAGCTGGAAGGAGTGATCCTGGAGCTGCAGGAGCAGCTGTGAGCTCACCGCCTGCCCTGACCCCTGACCCCTGATCCCGGCCGCCCCGACCACAGCACCGGGTGAACCCCATCTTCATCTCCATCGACTCTAACGTCACCCGACACAAGCACCCACCTCTTCAGCATCGACCCACTGATCCAGCCAGCTCCACCCCGAGATGCCCACAATGACTTAACATTGCCCATAGCATAAGATCCAGTGACACCAACAGCCAGCGTTCCATTTCACCCTCAGTTACCCTTTAGCTAGAGTGGCCATCTACCCTTACTGCAGGGATCCCGACGTCACTCACCAGGACTTGCAGTGTTGCTCTGCAACCTTCAACGCGACTGCACACTGCACACGTCCCGGAGTTAGCGCTTCACTCACCTGCACCACAGGCTCACTGATCGTCATCACCCACTGTGACCCCCGGCCTCACTTCTCCTCTAAGCCTTTCTATCACCCTGATCTTGTGGCATGATCCCCAAGGCAACCTTACCCTTCAGGGATTCCCACACTATTCAACACTGACACCCGCAGCACCCCAACTGACCCTACAACACTGCACCATTCCCTCCAACTCCCAATATTTGTGCAAGAATCCTTGTTATCCCTCCACTCCAGTACCACCTCCACTTCCTCCCAGGATCTGCCCCACTGACCCCAACACTGTATTCCCATTTTTGCCACTCAGAATTCATTCCTTACCCCTCTTTCATCCCCTTGCTGAATCTCCCTTCCTCACTTCTCCTACTTCCAGCCAGGCCTGACTCCTCCTCCCCCTCCCAGGACAGGTCTGATCCCCAGTGACCACGCCCCCCTGGCTCAGGGTTCCAAGGAGCTCACTACACCCCTGGTCAACCAATGGCCTTCACTGGGAACACTCAATGGGGCCGAGGGTGCCAGCAACTCCAAGCCCTACCGGAGGTAAGCCCCAGTCAGGTGCAATAGGGCCTGAGAGCGGGTCGGCCCCGGGAGGAAGGGCTTCCTCTACCAGTGCACCAGCTCTCCCTCTGCCGCAGACACAGCTTCATGAGCACGGAGCCGCTGTCAGCTGAAGCCAGTCTGAGCTCGGACTCCCAGCGCCTGGGAGAGGGCACGCGGGACGAAGAGCCCTGGGGTCCCATCGGTGAGCTCCCCAACCCAACACCCAGTACTTCTCCAGGAAGGGCTAAGGCAAGGCCCTGGGGCCTGGAGGCAGGTCCTAGCCCATTCCCTCATTCACTCTCTCAGCCTTACTTTTCTTTTTTTGAGATGGCATTTCACTGTTGTCCAGGCTGGAGTGCAGTGGCACAATCTCAGTTCATTCCAACCTCCACCTCCTGGGTTCAAGCAATTCCCTTGCCTCAGCCTCCCAAGTAGCTGGGATTAAAAGTGCTCACCACCACACCCAGCTAATTTTTATAATTTTAGTAGAGGCATTTCACCATGTTGGCCAGGCTGGTCTCAAACTCCCGACCTCAAGTGATCCACCCATTCAGGGTGATCACTTCCCAAAGTGCCTCAGCTTCCCAAAGTGCTGGGATTGATTACAGGTGTGAGCCACTGCACCCAGCCTCACTGAGCCGTTCTTGAGGGATTAGCACAGCAATTAAGAGCTTGCTTTGGGGTGTCATGCAGAACCCAGCACAAATCCTGGCTGTGCCTCCTTTGACCATGTGAGCTTGGTCAATCACTTTACCTCAATGAGTCCATTCTTTGTAAAATGGGGATGTTGGTAATCACCAGTGTTGTATGATGAGGGCTCAGTGGCTTTTTGGTGTCATGACATCCTCAGGGGGCTCATAAACTCTTGGGGAACTCCTCAGACTAATTTGCTCTTATCTCATGCACACTGTGAACTACTTGCCTGACCCTTGTTTCCCCCTTCTCTTTGGCTGCCAGGAAGCTCAGAGCCAAATTAGTGGCTTCCTTCGAGCGAATGCCCAGGACTTCAACGCATGCACTTTGTGTTGACCTCATCCCTGGCTTCACCTTGGTTTTTCCCATCCTAGTTTTCTCTGTGCCTGAATTGCCCGTCTTTTCTTTTTTTTTTTTTTTTTATAAGCAACCACACTGTATTGGATGACCCTAGATCTTCTTTGAGACAAGGCAGGCTGTGGCCATGTAGCCCCATCACACTGTGTTTGTGATTGTCTGTGTGTCTGTCTCCCCCACCAGACTGTGAGCTCCATGAGGGCAGGGACCGTGTCTTGTCCGTTCTCTGTATCCCCAGTGCTTGGAACAGAGCAAGTGCTCACTGCGTATTTAATAAATGGACAAAGAGAGAGGATGACCCTCAGGGGGAGACAGAGACATCCAGTGACAATTGCAATACAGTGTCCCCAGCACCACCCCTGGTACAGGCAGGTGCTTAACCATGATGTACCTGAAAATGGCAAATGCTCCGGAATAGATCAAGGCTTCTTGGGGGGTGACTTGAGGGCTGCCCCTCCACTGCCCATCCCTCTACCAACTCGCACACATGCAGACTGGCTGCCCGGCCTCACCCGCCCTCTCTCCCCAGGAAAGGACCCCACGCCCTCCATGCTGGGCCTCTGCGGCTCCCTGGCCTCCATCCCCAGCTGCAAGTCCCTGGCGAGCTTCAAATCCAACGAGTGCCTGGTGAGCGACAGTCCTGAGGGCAGTCCAGCACTGAGCCCCAGCTGAGGAACGGCATGGGCAGTGCCAGCCCCACCTGCCAGGGGCCATGGACACCTGCCACCTTTCTTCAACAAGAGTCCCCCAGTCCAGGCTACCCTTCCCGAGAACGCTGCCCGCCCAGCCAGGGCTCTCGGGGAATATCCCCTCTGCTTGCCTTAGCTTCCTGCCTGTGGTGGCAGGGGCTGCGGAGGGAAGCCAGCTGGGCTAGGAGGCAGGGGTGCCCAAGCCACAGAAAGCCCCTGGGGAAGTCTGCTCCATTCTTCTGGTGACCCTGGCACTCCTTCACTCTCCTCCCCAACCCCTCGGCCCCAAGTCTGGTTGACCAGCTTCCACACCCCCGTCTCCCAGTCCCTAGCCTCTCCGTCTGTGTATGCTCTGGAGTCACTCCTTCCTAGCCCCCTGGCAAGAGCTCTTCGGGGATCAGGCAAATAAAAACCAGAGGACTGAGGGCAGCCTTGTATGTGGGGGGCTGAGGCTGGGGCAGGGCCCAGTCCTGAGTTCCGAAGGAAGTACAGCCACTGCCTGGCCCACAAGCAAGGTCAGGCAGCATAGCATGTCCTGTGGGGGCAGGCAGGCCAGCACTCAGGGAGTGGGTGGCTTCTGTGTTGTGTCTGAAATATTAGATCTGCCCAGGGCAGGCCCAAGACATGCAAGTGCCCCAAAACCCAACAGCCTTTAAGAAATCAATTAACCCCAGGCTGAGAAGAGACAGAGCCCACCAGGGGCAGGATGGAGGCACACCCTGGTGGCGCCAGTGCCCTGTGCTGGCCTCAGCAACGGCACTTTGGCCCAAAGCTGCAGACCCCTTGGTTAAGCCAGAGCCTGGCAGTTAAGCAACACTCACTCCTCTGCTGTCGCTTAAGGTTCCCTTAAGGAGAGGTGCCATCATCCCCCATTCTAACCCTAACATGGTCCCCAGGATGTCTACCTGTGGTCCCCCACACTCTAGGTCTTCACCCTGACTGACTCTCGTTACGTTGGAGGGGTCTTCTTTATGGGTGCCACCCTGGGCAGCCAAACCAGCACCAGGGTCCCTCCCAGGCCTCCCTCACCAGCCACCCCAGGCCCCAGAGGCACAGGCACCAGGCAGAAGTTCATCATCTTTAGACTTAGGAATTAACAAGGGTCAGGGAGACTACACCAGGCTGCGGGTTTCTTGGCTCCTGGAGACAGGCCCAGCTACAGCAAACACAGAGAAACATGAAGGGGGCAGCTGAAAGACTTGGTCTTGAACTTTCGGGGTGGGAAAGCCATGATCCCCACAACTGGAACAGCAGGAAGAAGCTGCATCTGAGGAAGGCCAGGGCCGCCCAGAGGGGCAGCCCTGCCCTTGGGCTTGTCGCCAGGAGGGAAGAGAAACAAGCCCACTCCCTCAGTGCTGGGGAAAAGGCACTTGGCTGGGTCTCCTCCTGCCCTCTCCCCATCCGTGGAAAGCTGGGGTCCTTGCTTCCCTGCCCCTTTCAGGCGCCCAGAAGCCGGTCCTGGTTGAGCCTCTGGAAGAAGCTTTTGCTGAACTCATAGGTGCTGATCATGATGGCGCAGGAGGGGGCAGCCTTGATGATCCGAGGAAGGAAGCCTGAGGTGGGAGGGAGCCCGGGTCAGGGGTCAGGTGACAGGGTCACAGCCCCTGCCCCACCCCCAACCCCAACCCCACACACTGACCTGCAAAGAGTCCCCTGGTGCCCGACTCGGCCCGGATCCTCCGCAGCAGCAGCCAGGTGGAGTCCATGCGCAGGGGTGTCACTGCAGACATGAGGCTGGCTCAGTGAGACGACATTCGGGACTCTGCCTACCCCCTGCCACACCAGCCTGGGCCCTCACCTCTCACAGCCTCCATCGCTCCCAGTGCAACCTGGCGTTGGGTCTTCACCACGTCAAAGGGTAGAGTCAGCACGGCAGCCACCTGGTCGGGGGGCAGGGGGAAGGCTCAGCTCCACTCCCAGGACCCCAGCCCTGCCTCCCAGGTGGCTCCTGCGGCTGGGAGGGACAAAGGCCTCATAGGGTCTGCTTCTGGCATCTCCAAAAACCCTCAGGCTCCCCCTCCCAAGAGAGACCTCTGCTGCCCTCACCTCCAGCCCAGTTCACTCACCGTCCCTGAGATGCCACCAGCCACAAAGCTCATGCCTACAGAAGTCTGGTCCTTTGGCCTGAGCCCATTCAGCCATCTCTTCACCAGCTCATAGTTGAACCAGTATAGGGCTTGGGGTGGGGGTGCATTGATTAGAGATAGGGAGGGCAAGGAGGTGGGCCCAGACCTTCCATATTCCACTGCCACCACTCCCTCCCAGCTGAGTCTCGTCTGCTACATGCAGCTTGGGAGCAGGCTCTCTGTAGGAATTGCCTCCTCACAGCCTGGGCAAATACTCACAGATAAGAAATGCACAGCTCAGAAAAGCTAAGTGACTTCACGGTCACCAGTCACAAAGCTGGGACTTGGCCGTAGACCCTCTGTGCCTCACTCCAGGGTTCCCTTACCCACCCGCTACACCCCGGTGCATACCTGAGAAGGGCACATCTCGAAGGGCAGTGGGGCCCCAGCCCAGCCACAGCGAGCGCCAGCCACCCTGAGCCACGGCAGTTCGAACACAGGCACCCAGCTCCCGGTATGACACGTGCTGAGCCTGCAGCTTTGTCCGCATGAGCTCCAGGGGGCTGATCACAGTCACAGTGCCCACTGTGGGGGGCATGGGAGTGACAGTGGGGAGAAGTCAGGTCACCTAGAATATTCCTCCCACCCCTAGGCTGGCAGAGGTTGGGGCTGAGAGCTGGGACTGACTGGGCTTGGGCAGAGGTGGGGACAGAGGGAGGTCAAAGGCCCAAGAGTATGCTTACAGCGGGCCAGCGCACCAGCCACCATGGGTGCGTAGAGGTCAGAGGTCAGGGCTCGACCACACAGGAGGGCCTTGAGTTGGTCATAAGCAGTGAAGTAGATGGCAGTAGCTGGCACAGTCATCACCCTGGGGATATGGAGAGAGGTTAGCAGGAACTCTCAAGGGGACCCAAACTTTTGAGGCATCGCCTGCCCCACCCAGCCATTCAGCAGGGAGCAAGGGGTCAGGAGCTACCAGAAGAGAGTGGTGTGGGACCCGGCTACTCACAGAGTGGCAGGGAGGCCGCTCCAGAGGGTCCGGGTGCCCTCGTGCCTCACGATCTTCACAAAGGCGTCCTGGCCAAGTAGGCACCAGCCCAGGGGAAGAGAAGGGACACAAGTGAGATGTCTGCGATGGGGCTGGCCTGGGCTGGGCCTCTGCCTGATGCCCTCAGCCTCTGCCCACAGCCCTCAGGCCTCCCTGCCTGTACACATGCAGTACCCCAGTTGGGTCCAGGTGGACACGTGGTCACTCTTCAAAAACCTCATGGAGCCCAGTGATGGTGGCTCACACAGGTAATCCCAGCCAGCACTTTGGGAGGTTACAGCGGATAGATCACTTCAGGCCAGGAGTTGGAGACCAGCCTGGCCAACATGGCAAAACCCTGTCTCTACTAAAAATACAAAAATTAGCAGTGGGTGGTGGTGCATGCCTGTAATCCCAGCTACTTGGGAGGCTGAGGCAGGAGAATCACTTGAACCTGGGAGGCGGAGGTTACAGTGAGCCGAGATTAAGCCACCGCACTCCAGCCTCGCTGACAGAGCGAGCCGCTGTTTAAAAAGGAAAAAAAAAACCTCACGGAGGTAACTGCCTTCTCCCGAAGCCCTTCCTGACTGACGGGCTACCTCTGTGTGCCTTGCCCTACCCCTTCTTTCCTGGGTCTGCTGCCCAGCCAGATTCAACTCCTCAGGGACCCAGCTGCTTCTCACCATGGTGCCAGTGAAGCGGGTAGGGTCTTGAAACCAGGTGGCACAGCGGGCACCATTTGGGCACAGGTACAAGGGCTCCAGGACACCATTGCAGTACAGGAGGCACTTCCCTGTGGATTGCAGAGAGGAGGGCACTGGGGAAAGGCAAGGGGGCATTACGAAAACAGGACCCTAGAACCTTGCAAGGAGGCGGTGGGCCCCCATCCCTGGAAGGCAGTAGACGCCAGGTCCCCGTGTGGATGTTCTGGTACAGGTCACAGGACTCGCTGGCATGACTTGGGGGTGTGTGTTAGTCCATGGCTCTGGAGCCCACTGGTGCCCTGGGGACAGGGACAGGAACTCTCTCCCTTGCACCCTCCCAGGCTCCCTGTGGCTTGGGGCACTCACATTTGGTATAGGAGAGGCTCCACAGTCTGGAGGAAGGCGTCAGCTCTAAAACACAAGGCAGTCCCTCAAGTCAGGAGAGCCCCCACCTATCCCAGGGGCCCCATCTCTGGGAGATCCTTTTATTTTTTTTGAGATGGAATCTTGTTCTGTCGCCCAGGCTGGAGCACAGTGGCACAATCTCAGCTCACTGCTATCTCCATCTCCTGGTCCAAGCAATTCTCCTGCCTCAGCCTCCCGAGTAGCTGGGACTACAGGTATATGCCACCATGCCCAGCTAATTTTTGTAGTTTTAGTAGTGACGGGGTTTCACCATGTTGGCCAGGCTGGTCTTGAACTCCTGACCTCTGGTGATCTGCCCGCCTCAGCCTCCCAGACACAGTGCTAGGATTACAGGCATGAGCTACCTCGCCGGGCCTCTGGGAGATCTTTCTTTTGCCTAGGCACCACCCCTCACTAGCTCTGGGTTCAGGTACTCACCGTTGGCCATGGAAGGCCGCTGAGACTGCAGGCGAACCTTCACCACGTCCAGGGGTGTCACTGAGGGAGGAAGTGGGTCTGAAGGCTCCTTTCAGGACCCCACCCCCAAGACCACACTGCCTCCAATCTCGGGTCTGCACCATCCCCACCTGCCCACACCCCACCTCCCCAGGTCTTACTGAAGAGGGAGGTGACCACCGCCCCAGCGCCTGAGGCCACCATTTGCTGGAAGGGGCTGATGCCCCCAGGATCCTGGTCAGTCATTTTGAAGCTTCAATCCTGAAAACCAAACCTTAGTCAAATGAAGCATCACTCCAGGGACGCCCTGGAAAGGAGACGGGACCACCATGAGACCTTTCTTTTCTTTTCTTTCTTTCTTTTTTTTTTTTTGAGACGGAGTCTCGCTCTGTCCCAGGCCAACCTCAGCCTCGTGGATTCAAGCGATTCTCCTGCCTCAGCCTCCTGAGTAGCTGGAACTATAAGCGCGCCACCATGCCCAGCTAATTTTTGTATTTTTAGTAGAGACGGGGTTTCACCATGTTGGCCAAGATCGTCTCAATCTCTCGACCTCGAGATCCGCCCGCCTCGGCCTCCCAAAGTGCTGGGATTACAGGCGCATGCCACTGCGCCCGGCCCACTACGAGACTTAAACCCGACTTTCACCCACCGCCCTCAGAACATGCGCTGCCTCAACAACCCTGGCAATGACCTCTAAAGCAGAGACTGTCTGCCCCCATCAGCAGGGAAAAAAACCAAGGCTCGGGGAGAGGAGGTGGCCTAGCCCAAGGTCACTCGGGGGTGGTTCCGAAGGAAGCTGGGGTTTCAGATCTATTACTCGAAGGCAATGGGGGCCAGGGACGTTCCCTGGTCCGCCTCGCACGTGTTCACTGCCCACCTCCTAAGTGCAGGGGCGGGTTGGGCCCTCGTGGCCCCAAAATTAAAGTACCTGGGCCGCCCCACTCCAGCACAAAGGCCCCGGGCGGGCACCTGCGAGCCGAAGTCACCGGGCGTGGAGGGACGGCCGGGCACCGAGAGTGACGTGTAAACAAATCTGATGATCACGAAGGGCCCGTCGCCTCCTCGGGACGGGGCTGGGGTGCTAGGCCCTCCCCGCACGGCCGGACGGGCCAGGCCCGGGGCCATGAAAAGAAGAGCAGTCTCCGGCCTTCCGCCACAAAATGCAGGCCGGAGGCGCAGCCGGGAGAACGGGAAGCAGGGTCAGGGAGCCAGGATCTCCCCTCGACCCTCAGCTACGCTCCCGGCCCTGGACCGCGCAGAGCCGCCGGGTGAGGAAAATCACCGCAGCCCGACAGCCCCCAGCACCCGCCCTGGCACGCAAGGCCGCCCAAAGACCCTCGCTCCCGTCTCCGCCCTCAGCCCCGGCCCAGCGCCGCCTACCTGGCTCTAGGCCGGTGCTCGTGAGGCGCGGCACCCAGGGCCGGGCGGGCCCATACCGGCTCCGCCGACTGTGCGGAGTCCGCGCGCGCTGGCCCGCACCGAAGTGGGCCCCGCCCCCACACCTTGCCGCGAGGCCCCGCCCCCCGCGGGCCGACCAGCCGCACGTCCGGAGTATCTCCGGCTCCTCCCATTCGCGCCTCCGCGGCAGTCCCGCCCCCTTGCTGGGGCCGCGCGGGCAGGTTCCAGCCTATCCAGCGCTGAGGCCTGCGGGCCAAGGTTGCGGTCTCCACGTCGCGCTTAACCAGGCAGCAGCAGGCACTTACAGCATCTTTTTTTAGACAGCATCTTTTTCAGCCTTACCCTGTCGCCCAGGCTGCAGTGCAGTGGCGCGATCTACGCTCACTGCAGCCTCGACCTCCCGGGTTCAAGCGATCCTCCCGGCTCAGCCTCCCGAGTAGCTGGGACCACAGGCGCGCGCCGCCATGCCCGGCTGATTTGTTAGTTTTATTTTTGTATCTCTATATTGTCCAGGCTGGTCTGGAACTCCTGGGATCCAGCGATCCGTCCACCTCGGCCTCGGAAAGTGCTGGGATTCCAGGCATTTTCATCAGCCCCGCCCCGGCCGCGCGCGGCACTGGGGACCCCAGCGCCTTCCGGACGGCGAGGGAAACGCACTAGCCCCTTCCTCGGGGTCTTCAGGTGCGTGGCGGCGGCAGTGAGGGTGAATTCTTCGAGATCGCAGGGAGAACGCACAGTAACGACGAAGTTACTTGCCGGGCTACCCGCCGAGACTTTACAGCTTCTCCCGCCCGCCTTCGCATCGCCCGCATTTTGCAGGTTAAGCCTGCAACTGCAAAACGGCGTTGTAAACCGCGGGGCCCCGCGCGCGTGTGGGCCCCTGGGTTGGCCGAGCTACAGCCCGGGCCGGGCGGGCCGGGACGGGAGCAGGTGCGGGGAGCCCAGGGAGCCGTGGGGAGCGGGGTCCCACCTCCGCGTGACCTTGGGCAAATCACAACCCGCCTCGGTCCGGGAAGACTCCTGCGCAGGATGAGCACAGAGAGGGCACCGACGTTTTGGTGTTGGTTGCTCTCGCGCTATGATTTCTTCTGAGCCTCAGAACTCTTTGCAGTAGGTTATTGTTGAAATAGATTACCCTAGGCCGGGCGCAGTGGCTCACGCCTGTAGTCCCAGAACTTTAGGAGGCAGAGGCGGGCGGATCACCTGAGGTCAGGAGTTCTAGACTAGCCTGGCCAACATGGTGAAACCCCGTCTTTATTAAAAATATAAAATTAGCCGGGCGTGGTGGCGCATGCCTGTAGTCCCAGCTACTCGGGAGGCTGAGGCAGGAGAGGAGAATCGCTTGAACCCGGGAGGCGGAGGTTGCGGTAAGCCGACATCGCGCCATTGCACTTCAGCCTGGGCAACACGAACGAAACTCCGTCTCAAAAAAGAAAAAAAGAAAGGAAGGAAAAAAAGAAAGGAAGACAGACTGACAGATTGCAGAAGGTGAAACTGAGGATCGACGTGAGGAGCCCGGGATTCGAACCGGCGGGTGCTTTTTCCACGGTCCCACACTGCCTCCCCGTGAGACAGACGGGCTTAAATCCAGCGCTGCCGTCTCCGGTCCCGCTTGTTAGGGAGACATTTTCTCCAGGCCAGCCCCGTACTCCAGGCCCTACCACACACCTCGTGTTTAGAACTTTTGCGCCACCGTGCTTACTTGTCCTAACAGAAAGCTGCACGGGGTCCTAGCCTGCGCCTTTAAGAAGGGTAGGCCGCGGCTTTGACGTCACCGCCTTCCCCGCCCCTCAGGCTCCCACTGGTCGCGTCCGGCGCTGGAACCGCCCAGTCAGCCTGCGCGGGCAGGGTTAGCACGTGGACGCCGAGGGGCCAACTATCAGCTTTCCCTGAGACAATGCCTTTGGCCTCCCCCACAGCTCGGAAACCCCAGCTTGGGGGCGGGGACAGTGCAATCTGTGGCGGGTAAAGGGGACGCTGGGCAAAAGGGCCCTAGAGCAGGCCTCCTTTCCATTCCCTTCCTACCTCAAACTGAGTTCAGAAATGACACGACATAGTTTTAAAAACTATAGATTAAGGCCGCGCGCCGTGGCTCACTCCAGCACTTTGTGAGGCCGAGGTGGGCGGATCACCTGAGGTCAGGAGTTCGAGACCAGCCTGACCAACATGGCGAAACCCCATCTCTACTAAATATACAAAAATTAGCCGGGCGTGGTAGTCTGTGCTTGTAATCCTAGTTACTCGAGAGACTGAGGCTGGAGAATCGCTTGAGCCGGAGAGGTCCAGGCTGCAGTGAGCAGAGAACGTACCACTGCACTCCAGCCTGCATGACAGAGGCAGACTCCGTCTCAAAAAATAATAAATATGTAAATAAATAGGTCGAGGTGAGAACCTACTCTCCACCAAGGCTCTTTACAACTTTGAAGTTTTGGTTTACTGAACAGAGGAGGAAACTGAGGGCCCTTGTGTGTAGTGACTTCTTGTGTAGAGTAGAACCCGGACCTTCCGCACCACAGTCTCCCGTTTTACACATGGGAAAAGAGAGGTCCCAGAGGTCAAATCGCCCCAAGGTCACTCAAAAAAAGAGTCAGCATTAGACTGCCCGGGTTCCTGAGCCAGATGGGCTTCCTCCCACCCTGTCCAGCCCAGATACTCTATCCCAGCAGCGCCCTAACCTGGCTTTCCATCTCGCCTGCCTCTTACTAGCAAATGTCTTAAGGCCTCTAAGCCTTAGTCTCCCCATTTACGAAACGAACTAACGGTGATGATAACCCACCTTCCTCTAGGGATTATCTGAGGATTTAATGCATTAATAGCTGTGAAGTGCATAGAGCCCTGACACGTGGCAAGCATTCTATGACGACTACTACTGTTGCTGTTACTGTATTGTTTTTGTTTTGAGACAGAGTTTCGCTCTTGTTGCCCAGGCTGGAGTGCAATGGCGCGATCTCGGCTCACCGCAACCTCCACCTCCTGGGTTCAGACAATTCTCCTGCCTCAGCCTCCGGAGTAGCTGGGATTACAAGTGCCTGTCACCATGCCCGACTAATTTTTATATTTTCAATAGAGATGAGGTTTCACCATATTGGCCAGACTGGTCTCAAACTACTAACCTCAGATGATCTGCCCACCTCGGCCTCCCAAAGTTCTGGAATTACAGCTGTAAGCCACAGTGCCTGTCCAATATTACTTGGACAGTGTTAAAATCTCTGGAGTGTCATAACTCCAATATTACTTGGTCAGTGTTAAAATCTCTGGAGTGTGATAACGATACCGTGATTTTGTAGGAGAATGCCCTGTTCTTAGGAAACACAGGAAACTGTAGTGTTTAGGAGTGAATAAAGTGTTATCATGTCTGTAACTTAGTCTTAAATGGCTCAGCAAAGAAAGAAGTCAGGCATAGTAGCTTACACGTGTAAGGGAGGCCGTGGCAGGAGGACTGCTTGAGCCCACAAGTTTGACACCAGCCTGGGCAACTTGGGGAGACCCTGTCTCTTACAAAAAATAAAAAAATTAGTTGGATGTGGTGTTAGGCACCTGTAGTCTCAGCTACTTAGGAGGCTGAGCTGGGAGGATTGCTAGAGCCCATGAGGTGGAGGCTGCAGTGAGCAGTGATTGTGCCACTGCACTCCATACTGGGTGACAAAGCAAGATCTTATCTCAAAAAAAAAAAAAAAAAAAAAAAGAAAAGAAAAGAAAAGCCAATGTAGCAAAACGTTAAATCTGTCTCTACTAAAAATACAAAATTAGGCATGGTTGCGGGTGCCTGTAATCCCAGCTACTCAGGAGGCTGAGGCAGGAGAATCACTTGAACCTGGTAGGTGGTGGTCGCAGTGAGCTGAGATTGCAGCACCACTGCACTCCAGCTTGGGTGACAGATCGAGCCTCTGTCTCAAAAAAAAGAAAAAAAGAAAAAAAGAAGAGGGCCAGGCGCGGTGGCTCATGCCTGTAATCCCAGCACTTTGGGAGGCCGAGGCGGGCAGATCACCTGAAGTCAGGAGTTCAAGACCAGCCTGACCAACATGGTGAAACCCCCGTCTTTAAAAAAGAAAAAAGAAGAAGATATATATATATGCGCACGCGTGTGTGTATGTGTGTGCATGTATATATGTATATAGGATATGTGTGTGCATATACGTATATATATATATATATATAAAATAGCCAAGATTAGCCCAATTTTGGAAAGTCCTCCCTGTCTCCCCCTGCCTCTGTGGCCTGAGAAGATGGCCTGGGAGAGTCTGGACACCCAAGGCTTTATTAGGGGGGCCCTGGGTGTGGTCTGAGGAGGTGGGCCCCTAAAGGGAGAGGGTCCTGGCTAAGACTTTCCAGAATGTTACCCAGCCTGGGTCCCAGAGCTCTGCTCTGCTGGGGGAGCATGGATTAATATGGAAGGTAGTTTTAGCCATAGCTATGAAAATTCTAAACCCTTGACCCAGCCAGCCCACGCCTAAGCGTTTCTCTAGTCATCGGCTCGTACAAGTGCTAACCGATGGCATCAGCTCAGCCTTGATGGCAGCCTTGATTGTAACAGCAGAACAACCCTTGAAAGGGAACTGTTAAGTGCATGACAGTATCTCCATGTGACAAATCCACACAGCCTCAAAAGGGCAGCATTCCTTGACCTATCCGGGTGGGGTTGGGGTGAGGGCTGCAGATCTCTATATCATGATGTAAAACAATCTCAAAGATGGTTAAACAGCCAGCATGGACAGCGTGCCGGACAGTTGTCCAACCAGCAGCGTCACTGCCCCCTAGGGGACATTTTTTGAAATTTATGAGGCCACCGTCATTTCTGGTTGTCACAAGATTGGGGCTTCTGGCATTTGTTAGATGGCAGGTCAGGGACGATAAATGCCCTGGAAAGTGTAGGATGTTCTGATAGATACAACAGAGAATTTCCAACACGAAGACATCTCTCAATTTCCCTCTGCCTTTCTGGG